GCTGATCTTTTGGACAACTGGACACAAAATAGAAGAGAAATCCCTTAAATGAGGATTTCTCTCCATCAAGTTGCCTGCAAGCAAGTTTGAGCATTTGCTAGATTGATGATTGACAGGGGAGGGCCCAGACCACTATGGGTAGTGCCATTGCTCAGCAGGTGATCCTGGATGATAGGAGAAAGCGGAATGAGAAAGATGGGGAGTGAGGAAGTAGACGGCATCCTTTCATAGCCTTGGCATCAGTCCCTGCTTCATTTCTTGCTTGAGTTTCTACTTGCTTTACCTCGATGATGAGGGCTATAACCTATAAGATGTAAACCTCCTCCTCCCCCAAATTTCTTTAGTTCAGTGTTTTATCACAACAGAAACCTAACTAGGACATAAATTGGTGCCAGGAGTCGGGTATTGTGTACTGACAGACCTGACCATGTTGTTATAGGGAGGACTGTGTAGTGCTTAGAGCTCTGGAAAAGCCATTGGTGCTTAATACTCAATCCCTTGCTGCCTGTGGCATTGGGTGAGCTAGCCGGGGCAGAGCTGGAGAGCTCACCCTGGTGATGAGGTTGTAGGAGAGCTGGTGGGCTAACCAAACTCAGCTACCACCCAGGCCCACATCCATGGCTAAGAGTTGGTCCACCCCACCAGTGAATTGCTGGAGCACGCAAAGGAGTTGGTCCAGTGTATCTTCGTTGTCTTCCATGGCATGGTTTGCAGTCAGTTCATGTGAAATGCCGCGGTGCCTGCGTGAAAACACACTTTGGATTTGGTCCTGTGACTCCACTTGAACTAGGGCAGTGGAAGTCCTAAATGCTCTTCCAGCCAGTGGGGTGAACACAGCATTAACTTTTGTGAAAACCACAGTTAACACCCGTCAAATGTGTGCATTCCTAGAACTCCATGGTCTTTTATGGAAGAGAACACTGGGACTGAATGTATGTCTTTCAAAGCTCAAAGCAAAAGTCAGGTTGGAGGCAGAGTTCATAGTCTACTAGTTTCACTGGACTGGCAATTTCTTTAGGCTAGTTTGCCCCTTACATAATACTTGAGAAAGTTCTCATTTAAAATGAGATCATTTACTAAGTAGTAATCTATCTGTATATAAGTGACTGAGGTGATACTAGCCTTCCATAGAACTTCCAGACGCCTTGAAGTGGCTTTTGCTCCTTGGTATTTCTTCATCTGCTACCAATGGAGAACTGAGAAGCAATATCTAAGAGGTCACTTGGAGTACCGGGTGCTTAATAAACATTTGCTTGGTGAATATACTGCCTTTCATGCAATAAAAATTAGACTATTTTTATATTCCTTATCAGGTATCTATTCTGTTACCTCAAGTTAAGTATATAGTTGGCCTTGAGGTTTAAAACATAGTATTTTTCTCTCTTCAAATATTAGGGTTGAAATATTCATTTATTTCTTTTGTTCCCTCAGTTCTCACCTACATTTGCTACCGGCCTCTTCTGTAAATGTCTTCAGGAATCTAAGACTACCCAACAGTGCCTTGCAAACATGTGTTCTCTAGGCGACGCCTCTCCAGTGTTTTGCAGAAGACCAGAGAGGGATGTAACACATACTACAGTAGCCATGTAGATCTTGAGAAAGCAGTTTAGAGACTGGATTCTTTGTCTGGAAGGGACATTGGCGAACACTAGCACATCTGCCCAACTACCATGGACCCGCACAATGTTTTAAAGTAGGATACACACACAAACACCTGGTGTTTTAAGATAGGGTCTTACCCTGTTGCTCAAGGTGACGCAGAAGTCACTATGTGGCCCAGATAGGTTTCAAACACGCAGCAATCCTCCTGCACTAACTAGTGCCAGAATTACAGGTGTGAGCTACCACACTTGGTAGAACACTAGCTGTATTAATGAAGACCCTGAGTGAGGCTCCAGGAGGGGACCTGAATTTTGAAGGTGAGTCAGAATCCAGACTTCCCGGCTCTACTGCTCCCTCAGTTAGACCCTAAGCTCTGAGCTCGTAGATAAGCTAATTTGAAATGCTGGTATTACTTGCCTAGCATCTATGAGGCTCTAGGTGCTTGTTGTTTGTTTTTGGAGATAGGGTCCCTCTGTATCTATAGCTCTGGCTGTCCTGACACTCACCTTGTAAATCAGGCTGGCCTCGAACTCAAGAGACCCATGTGTCTCTGCCTCCCTAGTGCTGGGATTAAAGGCATGTGCCACCACTGCCCGGCTGTTTGTTTTCCTAAGGCCTATTGGGCCTGGTGTAATTTGTAGGAAATATTTTGGTATGTATACCCATACAAGGGTAATAAAAGTATTAGTAATTTAGTAATTTTCAGTCTGCATTTTTTCTTGTATTTTCCTTTCATTTTCTCAGATTCAAGAGAAAACAGAATGATCAAACATGATTTTTTTTCTGATATTCATAACATGAATGTATGCCTTTCAAACCTCAAAGCAAAAGTCAGGTTGGAGGCACAGTTCATAGTCTACTAGTTCATATTGGACTGGCAATTTCTTTAGGCTAGTTTGCCCCTTTACATAATACTTGAGAAAGTTCTCATTTAAAATGAGATCATTTACTAAGTAGTAATCTATCTTCACATAAGTGACTGAGGTGTTATACTAGCCTTCCATAGAATTTCCAGACGCCTTGAAGTGGCTTTTGCTCCTTGGTATTTCTTCATCTGCTACCAATGGAGAACTGAGAAGTAACACATAAGTCAGACACTGTAGCACACACCTGTAATCCCAGCACTCGGGGGTGGGGTAGGTTTAAGGCAGGAGGATTGAATTCCAGGCATGGGTTGCATAAGACCCTAAGACCCCCAAAGGAAGGGAAAACAAGAAGTAGCCACTGCTACTTCTATGTTGAAGGTTCCCTTTTCTCTGAAATCATCCACAACTTACACAAGAGCAGGAGTGGATCTGACTTAAGGCAAGACAGTCAGATATTCTCATTTGAAAATTTGGAGTTGGACATCAAAAGGCAGCCAAGTCTCTCAATGTGGCTGGATGCGTAATTTTAAGGACTCTGTTGTACTGTCCAAGAAATGGGCCTATTTTTATACGGCTGCTCTCAGAACAAGTCACCAAAGAAGATAAAAGCAAGTGGACTGGCAAGAAGCTGGCAAAACATTGGAAGCAAACCCAAACAAGAGCTGCGTTGAACTAAGACTCAATGATCTTTAGGCTGACCAAATGAGACATCAAGAAGATTAAGTGATAAAAAGGAACAATCTATGGAGCAATTTAGGAAGTAAGCTGTATTAAATTATTGACTACTACATTTGATAAATGTTTTTTAGAGGTATACTTTGATTTTATTACTCAGGTATTTTTTAGGTTAAAAGTAAAATTATTTTTAAAAGCGACTCTCTAGTTTTATGAATTTTTTAAAGATCTCGTCTGTGTAAAACAAGGAGTAGGATGACATTGCTGATGTGTCATTTTTAAGGGGGTAATTACAGAAGACACGACTCATGAGAATGGTTCTAACACAGAATTCAGTGCCAATATACCTGTGTAGAGGCTTTTATATCCTTACAGCTATGAATATTATCATCTAAATATTGTGCTAAAATTTTTGTTGGGAAAAGTTCACGCACATACACATCCCTCCTCCTTATACGTTTACCAACACAAAAGACTTCTGTGGCCACCAAAGCTGTGAGAGTTTCCCAGCCAGCCAGGAAGCCATTACTTTTGGATGGACAACAGTTCCACTGTCTCCAAGGCCCTCCTTGTGTGATGAATTTGCTTGATGAGCAAATCTCAGGCTGCAGGAAACACACCTAACTGGAACATGCCATGGGCAAAGCACGGGAAGTGTGAGGAGCTTCTGCACCTTCCCTACAGGCCCGCCTCTGGGAACAGGCAGCTCTCCGCCACTGTCCAGCTGGGCAGTCAGGGAAGCCTCACAGGCACAGTGATTACATTTCTCAGCTCATCTCCCTAAGCAGAGGTTGTGAGCCGGACCAGGAAGCGCCTGTTCTCTACTCGGCTAAGAACTTGTAGATGACCCAGTCCTCATCCCCGAGAGGCCACCACCCTTCGTGCGACTCTGCAACACGTACAAAGATACTATCACTTGTGGTTTCCAGGATTCAGGGAGCTGGGTGTCAAGGATGAAATGCAAATATATACTTAGTACTATCACACTCAAATAATCTCATTCAATATCTACTTCCAAACATATACTACCATACTTAGTGAAAAATCTGAGCCTCAAAGTCCAATGGGGCTGAGGCTCTAACTCAGAGGCTGCTTGCCTAGTATGTGCAAGACTCCAGGATTATCAAATGCTTTTGCTCTGAGTCACACAGTTGCTGCGCTCCTGGCTGACATAGACAGTGAGTGGTTTGTCCCTAAAGGCTTCAGCGTTAGCACTGTGCTATGCTGTTGTTACAGACCTCGCTCCGGAGTAGAACCAATTCACTGAGAGAATGCTAGCAGTTCCTTCCCTCCGTCTAATCCACAGGATGGATTAGTGGACGCCTGAAGCTGTACACAGTGCAGGGTCCTCAACACGGCAGTGATGCTCCCTTGCCCTCAGAGGGCACACTGCGAGCCTGTCTTAGTGTGCGTGAGCTGTCAGCAGCGCTACCCATGCACCCTGGAGCCACTGCTTTAACACAGGCACTGTCATCCCACGGGCTCAATCTGATCAGATGACAGATGGACAGATGGACAGAGTGGGGAATGCCAGGCAAAGGAGTAAGTGCTATCTCAGGAGGCCTGGGGTGAGATCTCATCATCCAACCTAGAAAGGCACACATTTAAAACTTGGAAACTTAGTCCTCCTGGAATCTTCCATTTAATATTTCCAGATCAAAGCTAACTGCAAGCAACTAAAGCTAAAGAAAGCAAAACCAAAAACTAGAGAAGTGCTGCCTGCGTAGTTCAGTCTTTTTGTTTCCTCCCCATCGGCTTCTCCTTGGTGTAGGGCTGGCGCATCTCCACTGGCATCTTCTGTACACTGAACACAGATGCTCCTTCAGCAATGGGGAGAGGAAACAAAGCTGGACAATATCCGCCTGCTTCCATTTTATTAAATCACGTTCAAATGGCACAGGAATCACCTTTTATTCCTATTAAATGCACTGAGGCCCACACTGTTTGAAGGCCCAGAGGAAGGTGATTTCACAGGCCATTTCTTTTACCTAATTCCTTCTTTTTTCAGTCACTCCAAGAGAACATTCTTAAAAGACTGGGGAGAGAATAGGTAATCCAGACAATCCAGTTTTATCCTTTTGGGAAGTACTTTACTTGCATAAAATCTAGCAAGATGGAGAAATATTAAGTATTCAGATGGATCAATGATCAGTAGGGATAAGAAAATGCAACCCAATTCTATGGGTTATTTCTTGGTTCTGTTGTGGTTTTTGTGGGTACGAATTTTTGAAACAGGGTCTTATTATGTAGCTTGCACTAACCGCACATCATCTTTCTCAGCCTCCCAAGCAGCTGGGATTAGTGTGTGGCACCAGCTTTGATGCCCTAATTCTTCCTGTGGAGAGAGAAGGTAAGAAGCAAGTCACTACAACCACAGGTGCCAGCACCTGCATTTGTCACTGAAGTAGCCTGGCACTGGCATTCCTAGACACAGAGCCCCTCATCCTCAGTCTTTGTCTTGTTGATCTGGTGATGGAGGGTTCCTCGGGAGGTCCAGCAGCTCCTGGATTCTCTGAGCATCTTCCTCAGGCCGAAACTTCTCTAAGCCACTTTCAATTTCCTCAGGGAGGAGTTCAGTGAATTGCAGTTTTCTTCTCCTACGATCAAAGAATAAACACGCATCAAGCTCTGCTTCAGCACTTGTCCTTACAGACTCCAAACAAGACGGCAACATCTATCACACCCTCCCTACTTTGCCGTGACAACTTATGAGCAAACGTTGGTCTTTGCATTCACAATACAACACTTCTCTCTCCTACCCGCTGTCTACCCATGATCTCCACATCACCAAAATGGACACTGAACACCCAACAAAATCCGGGACACTGTCCTGCAGTTCTCCCAAAAGATGAATGAGAGCTAAAGTATACATTTCAAACTGGGCTGTCCTCCTACCCTTCAGACTCGGGGGCAGTAAGTCCCCGCCACCATGTAAATGCTCTCACAGAGCTTGATGTCAATTAGGCAACTCTACAGATACATATTTATGAAGAGCAGAATCTAATTCTACTAATTTCTAAGCAATTACTCCTTTTCCTAAATAGAATTTTAGTAACTATCTTCGTTTTTTGGTTTTTCAAGGGATTTTTTTAATTTGGTTTGGATTTTTTCCCCCTTTTTTCTTTTTTGGTTTTTCGAGACAGGGTTTCTCTGTAGCTTTGGAGCCTGTCCTGGAACTCATTTTGTAGACCAGGCTGGCCTTGAACTCACAGAGATCTGCCTGCCTCTGCCTCCTGAATGCTGGGATTAAAGGCCTGTGCCTCCACAGCCCAGCTTAGTAACTTTATTTAATTATCAAGGCCACCTACATCTTAAGTGTCAACCCAGTCAAATCTGACCATTTTTCTATCATAACTTTATGGCCAGTCTTCTATATTTTCTGCTAGGAAGATTTTTTAAAATGGTTTTATTTCTCTGTCATTTTCAGGCACAGAAGCTCAGACATAAAAGTGACATAAACATTTGATCTAGCTCTTCCTAGGAATAAATAGTGAAACCAACTCTAATTTATGTCAAACTGAGATTTAAGCCCAGGCTCCGAATCAAGGTTCTGCTCTTCTACAGCACTTAAGTACTTGGGAAGAGACCTACGTAGATCTATCACAAACGTCCATTTGTGTTTCTGTGTAACCAAAAGAACTTCAAATAAAATCCCTGGGGAAAAAAAACCTGCTTATTTGTCCAATTAGAAAAGCAACAGCAGACAGAGGCAGGCCAGTCTGGTCTACAGAGTGAGCTCCAGGACAGCCAGGCTACAGAGAAACCCTGTCTCAACAAAAAAAAAGGCAGCAGCTGTGCCAGCAGCTCTCATCTCAGACAAGGAGCTGACCCGTGATGAGCGCCCACACTCAGGAGTGCTACAAGGCAGCAGCCAGGAGAGCCTGCACAGTCTATACAGGGTCAGTCTCAGGCTCACCACCTTAGCCCACAAACTGGAGATTACTGAACCAGGCCCGCAAGCCCAGTTACTAGGAGGCTGACAAAAGAGGACCACAAGTTCAGAGGGCAGTCTGGGCAACATGGTGAGACACTGGAGATTTGGTTCAGTGTACTTGTTTAGAGCACTTGTTTAGCATTGAGAAGGTCTCCAGCACTGAAAACAAATATTATAGCATATGAAATGATGAGACAGAAGCAAACATTTTCATAAACCACAGTGGCAACCCATCCACAAACAACTATTTTATCTACCTCATTTCTTCATCTAAATCAAGAAGTAAAATTTCAAATATGGACATACAGCAGATAACATATTCTCTCTCTCTCTCACTCTGTGTGTCTCTGTGTGTGTGTGAAGCCAAGTAATACTACATAAACCAAGGTGACCAAGGTGATCACCCTGCCTCAGCTGACACTTTAAAAACAGAAGTATCCATCTGCATTTCCCCCTGCAGGGGAGTATTACAGTGGAGGGCAGAGGGTTAAGACCTGGAGGAACTAGAATGTGGTGAACACTGTCTTCCAGGCATGGACTGGCCTCAGCCTTGTGACCTCAGAGGAGCTGTAATTACCTGCATGAGACTTGCACAAGGCAGGCCTGTCAGCATTCCTTCATGGGCCAGCATGGAGGCCCTCCCCAGCCCTGCACATTTATTTATAGGCAGTTCATGGTTACTGGGGAAGCAGAAGATGCTTTCTTCAGCACAGAGCCACATGCAAGCCCCCATGCTCCTGCAGACAACTGCGCACCAATGTTCTTGTAGTAACGGTAATTAAACCCACTGAGTCACAAAAGAAAAAGGAAGGAAAGGAGGAAGGACAGACAGACCTACAGCAAGATCCTGATCAGACTAAAAATAAAATTGGGGTCTTTCATTTTCCAGTCCCTTAATGAAACAGAATTAAAAGACAATTCAGATAAAAAGGGCAGAAGACTTGGCACACCAACGTCTTTGAACTGTGTGGTAGTTGGGAGAGCCCCTGTGTCATAATGTGGGCTGTCTAGGAAGTAAGACCAGCAGTCTTCACACGCTCCTTACCACTCTTCCAGTTTCTGCTCACGGAATGCCTTCTGGTCCTTCTGTCTCCTCTCCTGGACTGTCTCATCACAGTAAGCCTGCAGTGCCATCATCAGGCTTCCCATGGGCGCGCTGAGGGAAAAGAGGAAGTTCAAGGAGAAAGTCATTAGCCTGCCTGTCAACAGCAGAACCCGCTGTCAGATATGGAAGCATTTGACAATTTACACCTCTTTCAAACAGAAAAACATACGGAGGCCAGAACAACAAAGAAAAACAATCATTGTAGCTTCATTGATTGGTATAAAACAGTAACAGATCTAGAAATTGGTTCTTTCTTTTTTAAAATCATGAATAAGAAATAAACCAAGGCAAAGGAGGAAATACATATTTATGACTAGTTCAATTAAGCTGCTTCAAACTGGAAGCTTCTCAAAAAGGAATGACTAGTTCATTCAGGACAGTACCAGCCACTGGAGGACAAGACCTGTGTAGGGGATGGTAGATTGGGACGAAGATGCTACTGGCTTTGAGGGACGGGCCATCATAACATCTTATAGTCTAGAATCTACTATAACTGACAGCTGCTATGTCACCAGCTATGTATTAAGAGATGGACAGAGGTGCTGAAGAGAAGGTGTTGCAGTAAGAGCTCTTGCTGCTCTCTCAGAGGACCCAGGTTTGGTTCATATTGCTTGTAACTCTGACTCCAAAGGACCCGATGCCCTGCACATAAATACATGCAGGTACTCATATGCACACAGAAATTAAGAAGAAACGTCTTTAGGGGCTGGTAAAGTGCTTGCCATGCATGGGTGTTGAGTTTGCATTCCCAGCACCCATATAAAACCAGGTGTGGCAGTATCCCTAGGGTTTGCTCACTACCCTGTCCAGCTGATCCGTGAGCTCCAGGTTCACTGAGCGATCCAATCTCAAAAACAAAGTAGATGGGGCTGAGGATGTAGCTTAGTGGTAAAGCCCTTTCCTATCATGGGCAATGTCCTAGGTTTGAATCCCAGTAACACAATAAATAAATAAAGCAATAAGGTGAAAAGTGAGAGGAAGACACCCTAACACTGATCTCTGGCTTCCACACCCATGAACACAAATGCATGTGTATACTAAAACACATGTACATACACAAAAGAAACTGACTTAGATAATTATCATAGAAACAAACAGAATGTTCTTTCCTATGTCCTGAAGGAGCAAGTTTTGACTTTGATATAAGTCAAATTCTTCCTAGCTAGAACTTTAATAAACTCATTAAAAATTATCTTTGCTAAGCAAAAGAAATCAAAACTACATCAGCAGAATGGATAAAGAAAATGCCCCCCCCACAGAGAGAGAGAGAGAGAGAGAGAGAGAGAGAGAGAGAATTATGCATCATTAAAAAAGGAAACTGTTACATGCCACAACATAAATAAATCTCAAGCATGTTATGCTAGGTGAAATAAAGCAGTTATAAAAGGACAAAATGTTATAATTCTATTCATTCAAATACTATATGATTCCAGTGTGTATGCCAAATTTATAGAAAATGGAAAGTAGAACGAAGGTTGCCAATAGCTGGGCATAATGATGAGAAAGATTATAGTTTAAGAAGTATAGAGTTCCAGGTATAAGACAAAAACATTTTGGAGGTGCACACTTAAAAATGGCTAAAATGTGGGAAAGGAATAGGAGAGGAGGACCAATAAGGACTTTACTCATGTGACTCTTCCTAACCCTCAGAGTATAAAGTGTCTGATGCTCTGAATAAAACTGGCTACTGCATGAGACTTTAGTCTGCTTCATTTTTAGGCTCCATTTTCCTGGGTCCCACCACCTCTAGAGAAGTAGACACTCCACATCGTGAGCACAAGGAGACAGTACACCTGTGACTTTATCATATCCCACGCAAACATGGATTTTGCAGATTTGGATCAATCAGAAAGATTATCTGGGAGAGCCCTTTAAAAGCTGTTTCCTCTGGTTGGACAAAAGTAGACAATCCAAAGTGTGGGGAGAGGTACTGCGATTCTGAACATGGACGGCATGAGAAAGATGAGGGTGGCCTCTAGGAAGAGAAAGGGAGTGTCTGGTTTACAGTCCCAGTGAGGAAGCACACATTGCAGACCTATATACTTTGGCTCAGACTCATCCAGGTACATAGCAGGGAGTGGTATACTCAATCATGCAACAGTTTTAGCTTTACAGTTCATTTTGGTTTCCTGTTATTTTTTGAGACAAGTTCTCATGTAGCCCAAGCTGGCTATGTACCAAAGATGACCTTGAATGCCCATCTTTATATTCTAAGAGCTGGGACTACAGGTGTGTGCAGCCACACAAAACACCGCTTTGGCTTTTTTAAGCGGTGATATTATCTGTACACCTTACACTCCTGCCAACAGCGCATGCAGATCCCTTTCACTCCCATCCTTGCCAACACAGACTAAACCAATATACCAAACATCTAAAGTTAACATTATTATAATGGGTATGTGACACACACAAGGGCACAACTGCACCTACACAGCATCCCTGACAAAAACACTTAACCCAAATCTAAAGCAAGAACGGTCAGCTGCACGCCTTTAATCCCAGCATTCATGAGGCAGAGACAGGCAAATCTCTGTGAGTTCGAGGCCAGTGTGGTCTACAGAGTGAGTTCCAGGACAGCCAGAGATACACAAAGAAATGTTTCTTGGAAAACAACAACAACAACAAAAAGAATAAACAGACCAAACTGTGGGAGAACCACTCTGGGTTCTGAAGTGGAGGCTGAAGGACTTTGGAATCAACTTATATAAGGTGTGTCTTGGCCCTGCCCTACCCCCACCCCTTTGTTTTTCGAGACAGTGTTTTCTGTGTAGCCCTAGCTGCCTTGGAACTTGCTTTGTCAATCAGGCTGGTCTTAAACTCAGAGTGCTGGGATTAAAGGTGTGTACCACCAAGCCAGGCTTTGTAGGGTCTTTTTGTTTTTGGAGACAGGGTTTCTTTGTAGCTTTGAAGCCTGCCCTGGAACTCACTTTTGTAGACCAGTCTGGCCTCGAACTCACAAAGATCCACCTGCCTCTGGCGTGCACCACCACTGCCCAGCTCATAGGGTCTTAGTATATTTGTTAATCCAACTTTTCTGTAGGTTTGAAATTGTTCAATTTTTTAGCATTTTAGCTAGGGAAGAAAACTTTAAATAAAATATGTATCCGGTTAAACAAATATAATTTTAAAACATTACAAAACACACGTCCTATATGAACAATATTCTGTTCATTTTTCTTGCTCCTTATGAATGTTTTTGTTCAAATTACAAGTAATTTCAGGAACTGGTGACGTTTAAACATATTTTACCAGTGAAAAGGAATCTTGAATATACATGCTATTTCACTCCACGGTGCTGTTAACACTGTTTTAATTACACAGTGACGGCTATAAATAAACAAGTGGACAGTCAGAGCGGGAGATATGGTTCACCGGTAAAGAATGAACACTGTTCTTGTAGAGGACCTCAGTTTTATTAATAGCACCCATATCAGGCAGCTTACAACTGCCTGGAACAATCCTTGGGGACATACACATGTATACATAAACAATAAACCTCTCATAGCCCTCCTCCCCACAGAAAGGAACTGAACAGTCACAGCCATTGTCAATAGAGAACATACACCGTTTAAAGACTGTGAGGACTAAATTTGTTCTTTATAATAGACACCTTTAGTAGACAACCCATTTAGACTACACCATGTGAAGACTTACCCTAACAAAGCTCCAATTATACCACCAGCCACCAGGCCTCGAATACCCAAGTTTACTCTGAAAAGACCTCCGGTGACAGCTATTTAAAAGGAAAAAAAAAAAAAAAAAACAGAGGCAATATTAGGTCATCTTTAAATGCTAGACGCCTACTCTTTTACAGTAAGAACAAAGACCTCTAGGTGAACTTTCTGAACCACCATCAACAGTGTAATGACATCCAGGAAGGTAACTTTCTGTCCACTCCACAGACAAAGAAAGAAAATATTTTGTAAATATTTTTAAATATCCTGGTGTTACTGGGTAGTGGTGGCACATGCCTTTAATCTCAGCACTTGGGAAGCAGAGGTAAGTAACTAGATCTCTGAGTTTGAGGCCAGCCTGGTCTCCAGAGTGAGTTCCAGGACAGTCAGAGCTACACAGAGAAATTGTCTTAAAAAACAAAAACCAAAACCAAAGAACCACCACCAAAAACAAACAAACAAAAATCTCCATTTTTCCTACGGCTCTACGACCATTCTCCTTTTTTTTTTTTTGCCCATTTTCTCTTAAACGTCGACAGACAGTTCACTTCACCTTCTCCCACAGCTCACACCTCTTTCATGTCTTTCTTCTTTGAGGCAACTTGGTCCAAAATGAAGAGAGCAGCAACAACAAACGCCTTTCTCCCAGCCTCACCCATCTGCAGGCTGGCTGCACTGTGCACAGCAGACCTGCAGAGGCAGCATTTAGCATGGGATGCCCCCTGGTGACCGACACAGGGGGTGCACCTCTTTTCACTACAATTTCATTTCTAGGACACTCATTTATTTAATCTTCCTTTCTAAAAACAGGGTCTCCTGTAACTCAGCAGGGAGTTGAGAATGACCTTGAACTTCAGGCCTCCACTTTCTGGGTGCTGAGATGACAGACATGCACCAGCACCTACAGTCTCTGTGGTGCTCCCTGCATGCTAAGCCAGCATGCTACCAACCGGGATACAAACATTCCAGCTATTTCCCCCTTCAGTATGCACTACACAACTAAGGATATCTTAGGTGGCAAAAATTTTCAGGTGTTTATCTGGGGTTTTTAATTTCTATTTAATTATTATATTTTCATTTAAAATTTTCTAAATTAACAAGAATAAAAACCACTTTTAATCTCATTACTCAGAAACGGCTAGTCTTCCAAACAAAATACTAAGAAACAAAATAGGGCCATGTTATTTATATATATTTAACTTTTAATTTTCTCTGAATATATTATTAAATTACATTATCATTAATTTTTCAGTTTCGGCCTGATGATGGTGGTGCATACCTTGAATCCCAGCACTCAGGAGGCAGATCTCTGTGAGTTCAAGGCCAGCCTAGTCTACAAGAGCTAGTTCCAGGACAGTCAGGGCTGTTACACAGAGAAACTGTCTCAAAAAAAAAAAAATCAGCTTTAATATTAAAGTTTCCTACATGATTCTATTACTGGATTGCACGGACATTCGGACATTCCACAAATTTTTATCTTAACACCAGTTTTCTATTTGTAAATGTTTTAAATAAAGACACTCCTGTGCATAAATTTTTATACATTTGATAGCTTCTTTAAAATAAACTCACAGAAATGAAATTTTGGGATAAGGGGTATGAAGATTTTTATTTTAAAGAAAATTTTTATTTCAGAATGTGAGTTTGGGAGGGGTGTGACCAGCACACCGGCTGCTAACTGCTGAGTCATCTCTCCAGTCCCAAGGTGTGCTGGCTATTCTTGCTTGTCAACTTGACTACATCTGGAATTAACTAAGGTCCAAAAATTGAGGAGCACACCTGTGAGGGCTTTTTGCTTAACCTGAAATAGGAAGATGCGCTTCTAATCTGAATCTTTAATCTGGCCCACACCTTCTGCTGGAAACCTCTATAAGCACAGGAAGAAGGGAACTTTTGCTCTTGTTGGCCAGCACGTCCACTGGCATTAGAGCCTACTTCTTCAGATTCTGGCACACATTGAAGAACAGCTGAGACAGCTAGCCCCACAGACTGAGCAACTACTGTTCAGAGGTAGCCATTGTTGGATTAGCTGGACCACAACAAATCCCCTTTCTATATAATATAGAGGTTCATTCTGTAAATTCTTTTACCCCTAGAAAACCTTGACTAATACACCAAGGTATGAACATTTTTAAGACTTTGAACTTAAATTACTATGCTGTATTCAAAAAAGATACACAGTTACCTCCAATTCAAAATATGCAATTGTACACTCCCCTCCATTCTTCCATTCTTCTTATTTTTCTTTGATAAAGGGGCAATGAGGACCTTGTATAGCACAGACTGGCCTGGAACTCACTATGCAACCAAGATTTGTGATCCTCTTGTCTCTGGCTCTCAAGAGCTCAAGTTAAAGATATATGCGACCACATATGGATCTTCTACACTCTGGGTTGATGAGCCCCAATTTCACAGGCTTTAAGAATGGCAGCTAACTTAAATTATATTTCTCTTAACTATAGAGAAAGGTGAGTAATTAGTCACCTCTGTTATTTATGTCAGTTAAGTCTTTGTTGTTGTTGTTTATTTCATCGCCAATTAAGATAAATTTTCTTTTTGATATATAGGAGTTTTTATTGAGTACTATCTGAACACATTGTTACTCAGGGATCATTTCACATTTAATGTCTTCTGTAGTAGTTTATGCCAATAAAAGCTATCCATAATTTCCTATAACTTAATTTTTATGCTTTAAAACATACACATAAACAAACATATATATTTATATATCTTCCTACTCAGAAAGCTAATACATATGCAGCTATATTCCCCCTAACATTTCATCAATTTTTACTTAAGTATTTTAATGAATCTTATATTTCATTATATTAAATACTGCTGCAATTTGATTTCTTTCCACACAATTAATAACTGTTATTAAGCCCATGAACTGTCAATTCTCTTTTCATGGATCTAATATATCACCTTTAGTTTACCCGTACAATTAGTCTTTATTTCTAACTCTTTGAAGTCTGTCCAACAGCTCTGCAAACAACCCCAGTATGCTATATATTCTTTTTTTATTCATGTTTGGATTTTACATGGAAATATTCCCTAATTCTTTAGGGAAATGTTTTGCTATGCTCATAGAATCAGCATTTTAGACAGATGCTACATAGTTTAGCAAGTTCTCTATTAAAACAAATACAACTATAGCTTTTATTTGATTGCTTTTCATTTAAAAACTGAGATGAAAGGCCAGTTTCTGGTACGTAGAGGCACTTAAAATTGTTCAGTGTTTAACATATCATAGGCTTTCCAATAGTACAGCCTCTAACAAGCCTAGTCTGCTCTAAGCCCTGGCCACAGGCTGTTTAGCTTATACCAAGAAGCTGGAAAGCATCTAAATCTGCATGCACTATGCACCAGGCAGACTTCAGGTGTTTGTGCTAAAGTATATGGTCCTTAGGAGACTGCAAAACAGACAAGCACATTAACAGGTGTCATAAGTGTGTCCCTGACAAGATCAAGAGGGATTTTCTAATTGAGGAAAAGACACTTTTTTTCTCTTTTTTCTCTTTTTTTGGTTTCTCAAGACAGAGTTTCTCTGTGCAGCCTTGAGTGTCCTGGTATGCATAGAGATCTGCCTGTCTCTGCCTCCTGAGTGCTGGGATTAAAGGTGTGCTCTCATTTCTGTATCCCATCTCCCAGTAGGAGTGTTGGAATCACAGATACTTGTGCTGTGTATCTGGCTCTTACATAGGTTCTGAGGATTTAAACTTCGTCCTTTACATTTCCATGGCAAGTGGTTTTGCCCAGAGTCCTATCCCTAGTCGTCTAGTGGATTTTTAATTTCTAGTACTTCATTACCAACACCAGCTATTTCGATTTGATTACTTTAAAATTTCCTATTCTCATCATTACGTTTTGATTTGACATTATTTGGGTTCGTCAGCTCTTTCCAACATGTAGTTCCCTTCTACCTGTTAGTGACTTCCACCCCACCCCATATTTTTCCATGTCTTGTTGCTATTACTGTTGAAAATGAACATTTTTGCTGGGTTGCATAGTGCACATCTTTAATCCCAGGACTAGGGAGGCAGGTGCAGGCAGATCTCTGTGAGTTCAAGGCCAGCCTAGTCTACAAAGCGAGTTCTAGGACAGCTAGGACTGTTTCACAGAAAAACTCTGTCTCAACAAAACAAAACAAAACAAAACCAAAAACAAGGGCTGGAGAGATGGCTCAGTGGTTAAGAGCATTGACTGCTCTTCCAGAGGTCCTGAGTTCAATTCCCAGCAACCACATGGTGGCTCACAACCGCCCATAATGAGATCTGGTATAAATAAATAAATAAATAAATAAATAAATAAATAAATAAGTGTTAAAAAAAAAAAGAGAGAGAGAGAATGAAGTTTTTCTTTTTGAGACAAAGGCTCATGTGGCCCAGTCTACCTGCAAGCTCTCTACACAGACAAAAATGAGTCTGATTTTCTGATCTTCTCACCTCCATCTTCCAAGTGCTGGGATTATGGGCCTGTGCTACAACTTACAGCTCAAAAACGGACTCGTAAAGCAATATATTTTAGCAGCTCCTGAGTTGAACCGTGTCCTTCCCATGCTGAGGGTCTACATTTAGGGAGTGATTTGACTAGATCAAATCTATGTGTTTTCCTGAAGAGCGGAGCCACTGATGTCTGTTCTGAGTTCTTATTTTTATGTCTGGCTTCCTGAGAAGAGTCAGTCAACAATTCCTTGTACGTTGTGATTAAAGCTTGGCCAACAAACCTGTCTGTGGCTTAGCAAATGCATTTGAACTTCAGTTTAATTGTCTTTTCTAGCTTTCACACTGTGTCCACAAGAACTCACATACGACCAAAGAAAAATAGCTTCTAAGGCCCACGCTAGTCTCTCCTGAGCACATATAGATCACCATTACTACCTTCTCCATTTGTTTTTGTTCTTTCTTAATTTTTTTATTTTTTATTTTTTAAGATACAGAGGCTTTACATGCTACCTGGGTTGGCCTTGAACTTGTGGCCTCAAATGATTTTCCTGTCTCAGCCTCTCAAGCAGCTACCTCTGCTTTTATTGTCTCCTCAACAGTTCCATTAAAATCCAGGCTGGTTTGCTAGTCTGTGGCTCACGCCAACAGATCAGAACCTTAGGGTAGCTAGGTTAGAAGTCCCTGACTGCTTTAAACAACTTCCTAGATGTGGACTTTCCTATGCTCTCTTCCAGAGGGTCCAAAGTGCAAAGATGATAGGCACCTGTCACCACACATGGCTCCTCTACTCTATTTTTAATGCTCATTTTAAGTGGTGTGTCACCGCGAGAGAAGAGCTTTAAACAAAACCAAACTCTTACCACGAGAAAGTCTGACCCTTTCTTCTTCACACCTGTCTCACCTCAAGCTACTTCCCTTCCCTGTGCTTGAAACAACATCTCCAGCGATTTCCTGTTGATGTTCCTCTATCCCACTATCCTACAGTTTGCTCCTCCCCAACCTGCAGCTGTCAGTTTGATGATCTCAAAGACTCAATGACCTGTCCATGTCCCATTATTTGCTACTTTCTGTCATAGGAGCTGGGGTTTTTTTGGTTTGTTTGTTTTTGCCCATCATCATGGTGTCTGCTTTAATAACTGCCAATGGTCAACTATGAGGCTATTTGTAAGCATATTTTCTATGAATATTGAAAAGGATATAGTGTGAAGTCAATCAAAAATTCCACAGTTCTGATTCATAAATCCTATACATTCTAAACCATATGTGAAATTAAAATATGAACAAGAATAAAACACCTTACCTCCAGCAATGACAAAATGGCTCAAGGAGTTTTTATTTCGATACACTGTTAGTCCAGTGTTCACTGTACTGGAAGAAGGAGGAAAAACAAAACATTTCATTAAAAGCACACGCCATTCACCTTGCTAACTGCTATTTCATTGGAATGATAGTTTAAACACCCTGTTAGATGAAAGAGGCAGCTCAGCTGGCAGAGTGCTTGCCTACCACGCACAAGGTGCGGGTTCAATTCCTGCACCATACCAGACTAGGCATGGGAGTTCATATCTCTAACCCCTGAATTGGGGATTAGGAGTCAGGAGAATCAGAAATCCAAAGTCATCCTCAGCTACACATTCAGACTGGACTGCATGAGACCCTGCCTTAAAAACAAAAACAGAACCCAGAAACAACAACAGCAAAAGTCCCTGTATTTGAAAGCCTTGTCTTGTCCTAGTCTAGGCCTCTTTGGCGTGGTCTAGACTAATACGCCTATGGGTTTTTAGGTAAACCTGCTGAAGAATGAAACAAAAGAATCAAATTCCTAAAACAAATATTCATTCAGAAATAGCAACTTAGAAAGAAGGGGTCTGCAGAATTGTCCTTTCTTCAAAACTCTGATTCTAGTTCTGGCATGGCAGCACACTGTAATCTCAGGATTTGGGGAGGTAAGAAGAGTTCAAGTTTGAGGCCAGCAAGTTTAAGTTCAGCCTGAGTTACATAGCAAGATACTCACAGCAACAACAACAACAACAAAGCCCTATACCTGTTTTTGACCCTAGCTGTAGAGCTCCATCATGGATGCAGAACTAATACTGAACAATTCCTCATGCACATACAAGTTATTAGGAAAAGGGCACGATGGGGTGAGTGGCACGACCCTGGGTAAGGACTCTGCGGCCAAGCCTGGCCTGCTTCAGTCCCCAGGGTTACACGGTGAAAAGAGAACTGATTCCTCCATGTTGTTCTTGGACTGCCACATGCACACTATGGCACAGGCGTCTGCACAGACATGGACATGGATACACACATACATTACATGTAAAAGAATTTTTAAGAGACAAGTTTATGTGCATGTTCAATTTCATGACACCTCCTGCTCAAAGGACGCTCTCCTAAAGAACACTGGCATGGTGGCACATGTCTCAATTCCGGGAGAATGACAGCCTGAAGCCAATCTAGACTGCACTGCGTTCTAGGTCACCAAGAGACTCTCCCCTACCCCCCCCCCCCCAAGATGAAGACTCTTTTGCACAACTGAGAACTTACTTGAATATGGTCACGAAGACCGCAGTTCTCCAACTCCAACGCCAGCCATACCGAATGAAGCCCCTCGTGGCAGCTCGGTGTGCACTTTGCTAAAAATAATTTGTTAAAATGCGGTGAGGTTACAAGATACTCTGACATTTTCCTTATTCTAAAACTGTACTGCAGAAATGTCAGCTGCAAATTAATCAGGTACACCTAAATAGAAACATAGGGAAAAAATTTCTAGAACGATCAAGTACTAACACTTGAGCATAAACCTTGGGAGTCAAAGAGAAAAGGGCTAAGATGCTACTGGCTCCTCCCTGTTTGAGAGACAACCATATCTTCTCATGCAGTGCCAGCTACATCCCTGACACATGATGGTGAAGACTGGAAGGAAGCATTTGGCTGTACTGGGCACCGGTTACCAGAGCTACTTTTATCTCTAAGAAGTTAATGACCCATTAAACAATGACCATTCATTGACTTCAACTACATGGTTTCCATGTTCCTGTATGATTCCAACCACGGCAAGGTTCCACAGTACGGTCATGGCTCACAATGAGAAGAAACCCGTCATCACAGGGAAGGCCATCTCCATGTTCCAGGACAGAGATCCCATCAATAACACATGAAGTGACACTGGTGACAAACACCCTGTGGAGTCTACCACAGGCACACTGCTATAGAGAAGGCCAGGGCCCACATGAAGGGTGGAGCCAAAAACGTTATCATCTCCGCCCCTTCTGATGAGCCCAAGCCTGTGATAGATATGAACCACGGCGGATGTAACAACTCACTCAAAACCATAAGCAGTACCTTCTGTACCACTGTTTACCCTATCCTCACCCACTGGGCCAAGGTCATCCATGACAACCCCAGCATCACGGAAGAACTTCATCGATTCCAATCCAGAAGACCATGGACAGCCCTTTGGGAAACAAGCATGGGGCTGTGGGGTGGCTCTGCAACTACTAGTGTTGCCATGGTTGTGCACAGGGCAGTATCAGAGCTAAGGGGGAGCTTCCGGACATGGTCTTCCAGGTTCCCACCCTCGGGAATCATCACGAGTCTGGCCTGCTGCCTGAGGAAGAAACTGCCAAATAAAATGACATCAAGAAGGTAGTGAAATACAGAAGAGAAGCCACCCTAAAGGGCACACAGAGCTGTATCAAATGCCGGGTTATCTCCCGCATCTTTAATAGTGATACCCACTCTTCCATCTTTGATGCTGAGGTCACTGCCCTCCATGACCACCTGTCAAGCTCATTTTCTGGTATGACAACCAATTCAGGTAGGCAACAGAGTGATGGATCCCACCCACCTGGCCTTCAAGGACTTAGAAGCCCCAGAGTACCCATCCCAACAAGAACACAAGAGGAAGAGAAAGATCCTCTGCTTCTGGGTCCCAACTCAACCCCCAATGCACTGAGCATCTTCCCTCAGTTTCCATCGCAGACCCCAGAAGAAGTGCAGGGGCTTAGGGAGTCCTACTCTCAAGGACCATCAATAAAGTTCACTGTTGGGCTGGAGAGACGGCTCAGCAATTAAGAGCACTTGCTAACCTTCCAGAGAACCTAAGTTCAGATCCCCACACCCACATGGTGGCTCATAACAATCCATAACTCCAGTGCCATTAGCTCCAACACCCTCTTCTGACTTCTGCAGACAGCAGACATGCCCATGGTACACACACATACACATGTGCATGCACACTTGTACACAGGCAAAACACTCATACATATTTAAAAAATAATTTTACTGTAAACCCCACAGGAAGGAAGGAAGGAAGGAAGGAAGGAAGGAAGGAAGGAAGGAAGGAAGGAAAGAAGGGAGGGAAAGGCTTAAGAAGCTCTAGTTTCAGTCAGGCACAGTGGCGCACACCTGTGAGGCAGGCAGACCTCTCTGAGTTCGAGGTCAGCCTCATCTACAGAGTGAGTTCCAGGACAGCCAGAACTGCAATAGTAACTCTGTCTCAGGAAAAAAACAAAAAAAGAAAAACAAAAAGTGTTAGCTTCAACTAACCGTCTGCCAATTAAGCAGTAAGCTAGATGACAGTTATAAAATCAGAAATAACAATACTTTTTACATTCAAAAGAAATGTGTGGAAAAAAACAAATGCTGAAGAAACAATTAAAAACAAGGATTAAAATAATATAGGTATGAAGGGAAAGAAGAGAAAAAAAATATTTACTGATAATCCTTTATACAAAATTTAAAAAAAAAAAAAAAAAAGCTAATGGCTTAGCCAAAAGGAGCTAGCCACTAAAGCCTACAAGCCAAGTCTGAGCCTTGGAACCCACAGAAAGAGCTGGATGCAGAGACCCACATCAGAACTGAAGCACAACTGCAGCGAGATGGGAGGAGACAGAAGAGTCACCTAGAAACTGGACAGCCAGCAAGCCAGAGTACAGGGAGCAGTTATAGAAATAGTGACCTTGGTGCTCAAGGTAGAAGGTGACTCCCAACACTGTCCCCTCGACATTCTACACATCTACACATACACGTATAAAAACTAAAAAAAAATAATAAAAAAATAAAAAGTGAACCCATTACCTCATTTCCATTCTCTTCAGGGAAGTGTCTTAGCGCTAACCTGAACTTCTGTGGGAAGATTACCACTAGCATCTATAGGGTGGTAAGGAATAACCTCAGAACTGAAAGGTAAGATGGCTGTCCCCAGAGCACATTTTATCTATTAGCCATCACACACCGGGTCTAGTATAACATCGTGAGATAAAATTTGTATTTGTAAGGATTATAAGAAAATCCACATGATGATCCAAACTCCTATATGACCTTCGGCAAGTCAAAACTTCTCTACAAAGAACCAGTATAGGGGCTGAGAGAACTGGAGAGACAGACAGCTCAGCAGCTAAGAGGGCTGGCTGCTCTTGCAGAGGACCTGAGCTTGGTTCCCAGCACCCATGCAGGACAGCTCACAACTTCCTGTAACTTCAACTCAGGGAAGCTGATGTTTTTCTCTGGCTTCTGCAGACACCTACATATACAAGGCGGATACCACATACATGCACATGCAACACCCCCCCAACTTAAAAAAATAAAATAAATCTTTTTTTAGAAAGTACCAGTATGAACTTACAGTTTTAAAATATAGCTAACAATACTGACCTAGTGTCTGAATGCACAAACTATGGATCAAGATACATACACACAGACAGACACACAAACACACACATATACACACACACACACACACACAC